TCCCTGGCTGGCGGTGCGGGGGCTGCTGCTCTCAGCGGCTAGGGAGCTGCTGGAAGAGCCAGACGATCCCTCACTGGAGATGCTGGTGCAGCTCGTCTCTGCTGGTGGGGAATTGCAGGAAGCCCCCAGTGCTGCGTGGCTGTTGGTATCAAGTGCCAGGGAGCTGTGGGATGGCACTGATGGCCCTTCTGCCCCGGTGTCGGGGCCTACAGTCTCCGGTGCCAGGGAGCTGTGAGATTGCCCTTCTGCCGCCTGGATGCTGCTCCTCCGTCTGCTGGTCTCCGCTTCTGGATTGCCGTGGGAATGCCCTGAGGCTGATGGCCTAGCCTCAGCGGTGGGGTTGACGAGGTCTGAGCTGGCACTGGAGTCTGTAAGGGGAAGAAGAGAGGTCAAGGGGAAAATGGCCATGCCAGGGGCAGGATAGGCCAGAGCGGTGCCCCAGCTGGCGTGGAGCAGAGGCTCTGCCAAGCCCGCCCTGGGCACCTGCTGCCAAGCCTTGCCTGGCCCCCCGCCCCAGCCCGGGGGCAGCCAGGCGCTTTGCCCCTTACCGGTGCGCAGGCCAGCGCAGCCGTGGCACTCCCAGATGGCCGAGCTGCTCGGCCAGTTGGAACAGCTCCTGTGGGTGCCCTGGGCAGCGCAGGAGAGGCACAGGAGCAGTTGCCAGGGCCTGGGGAAACAAACGGGTTGGGGGTGGTGAGGAGAGAGTGATGGCAGCCTGGGATTTTTCCAGCAGAGCTCTTGTTCCTAGCGCTCCCGCTGGCAGGCCTTGGCGAGACCGAGATCCCGCGCAGAGCCCTGGGGTGCCGCTGTGGCTACGTACCCCTCTCCCTCTGCCTGCTCCCTGCCTCCTGGGCAAAGGCACTCCCTGGCATCGCAGCGGTTGTGCCTCTCTCCTAGTGCTGCAAAGGCGTCATTGTCCTCCCAGGCTGGGCGTCTGATGGAGAAGGGAAAGCTGATGAGTCCCGGCTGGCCCCGCAGAAGGCAGATGCAGGGCGTCCCTGCTCTCCCCCCGCTGCCCTCTTTCCAACTCATCCATGAAGCTGAAGGCCAGGCTCGTGGCAGAGTGGAGGGACGGGACCGTGGGGGCACTCGCGGGGCTGGCACAGCACTTGCACCCTTGTGAGTTGGGCAGAAGGACACCAACCTGAAGGGGATTTGGATGCCCAAGATTTGCATTTCCAAGCAGAAGAGTTCCCTGTCTCTACAGAGGGGGCACCGGAAGCAAGTAATGCCAGCGCGCAGAGCCTGTCCCTGCAGGAGATAGACAAGGAGCGTGAGGGAGGCCCTGGTGCTGCTGAGCCGATGCCGTGCCCCAGGGGCAATGGAGGGGCTCCCCCCCTGGGGCAGACCCTGTGGAACCAGGCGTGTTTGCACGCTGGGCACACCAGGGTGCGGTAGCACTTTTGCTTGTCCACATCTTCCATGCAGACAATGCAGCTGGTGTCTTTCTTGGGAGTCGCCTCCACTGCCTGCTGTGGGCGGTGCTCGAAGCAGAAGGCCCTGGGGGAAAGAGGAGTGGGATGGGTGAGGTGAGAAGTGCTGGGTCCTTCCCCGGTGGTGGTGAGGAGGGAGCAGGAGGTACCTGTACTCAGGAAGGTACTGGGTGATGCATTCACCCCTCACGGCACAGGGAAGGTGGAAGCTGCGGTTGCAGCCCCACTGCCAGCAGTTGATGGTGGCCCCGCTGTGGCCACAGACGAAGCAGTCCTGGAAAGAGCACAGCAGTCCCCATCAGAGGCAGCCTCCTGGCCTGCACAGCCAGCCCCTGGCCACCGGGCAGAGCCCAGGATGTGACCGCTTCTGGGTCACACACCTCCACCCCCTCCGCCCCTCTGCCCGCCCTGCCCCCGAGATCTGCCGGCCAGATGAGGCTCCTGGGCTGCAGCCTCTGTGGAGCTGCTGGGAGCAAGGCTTTGGTCCCAGAGCTGCTTGGAAGGGCTGGGCTTGCTTTGTCTCTTACTAAGTATTCCCTTGTCTGACACAGATGTTAGAGGCATAGAGGAGAACACAACCTGAGCTCCTGATCCCTTCAGCAGTTGTCTTAGGATCCTGAATCCAGGTCTGAAATGCAATTTGGGATCCAGAAAGGAGCCTGTCAGGTCCCCACCTTCTGAGCTGCCTGCCCGATTGTCTGTCGAATGGCCTCTGGGGGAAATCCTATGAATGGTCCTCCCATGCCGGGTTGCTGGTAAAGCCCGCTGGAAAATAGCTGCAGAAGAGAAAAGCCGAGGAGCTGGGGAGAGCCTGGTGGGGAGTGGCTGTGGGAAGGCGGGAGGGAGCTGTGGAGGGACTCACCAGGCAAAAGAGATGGGCACAGAGCCCTTCCTGCTCCAGTCTGGGTCCACAGAGGTCCGGGTCAACCTCCGCCTGGAGGCACAGCATGCACACTGGAGGGGAGAGAGACAATGCCAATGGGAACGAGCACCTCTGCGGGGCTGGGGGAAGCGTGCCCGAGGGCTTGCCCCCGAGGGCTTGTCCCCCTGGGCCTGCTCTGTCCCTGCCCAGCTGGCTGATGGGCAGGGCCGGAGCCCTCGGGGATCAAGGGGGCACAGCAGGCAGGGGTGTCCCGGCAGGTGCCCCCTGCCCGGCCTGGGCCCCGCTTGCCCAAGAGAGGAGGGGCCATGCCCCGGGGAGCTTGGGGAGCTCCTGCCTCCCCCCGCCAGCACCCTCGGCCCCACGCTGACGGCCCCAACAAGCCCTCTGGAGCCGGAGGGAGGGATACTTTGCTCTCACCGTGCTCCAT